GAATGTGATAAAGCTTTTACAGTGAAGTCACATCTTATCACACACAGATTGTTCACACTGGAGAGAAGCCATATCATGATAAAGCTTTTACACAGAAGTCACATCTTATCACACACCAGAGGATTCACACTGGAGAGAAGCCATATCAGTGTTCTGAATGTGATAAAGCTTTTTACACAGAAGTCAAATCTTATCACACACCAGAGGATTCACACTGGAGAGAAGTCATATCAGTGTTCTGAATGTGATAAAGCTTTTACAGTGAAGTCAAATCTTATCACACACCAGAGGATTCACACTGGAGAGAAGTCATATCAGTGTTCTGAATGTGATAAAGCTTTTACAGTGAAGTCAAATCTTATCACACACCAGAGGATTCACACTGGAGAGAAGTCATATCAGTGTTCTGAATGTGATAAAGCTTTTACAGGAAGTCACATCTTATCACACACCAGAGGATTCACACTGGAGAGAAGTCATATCAGTGTTCTGAATGTGATAAAGCTTTTACAGTGAAGTCAATCTTATCACACACCAGAGGATTCACACTGGAGAGAAGCCCATATCAGTGTTCTGAATGTGATAAAGCTTTTACACAGAAGTCACATCTTATCAGACACCCAGAGGATTCACACTGGAGAGAAGTCATATCAGTGTTCTGAATGTGATAAAGCTTTTACAGAAAGTCAAGTCTTATCACACACCAGAGGATTCACACTGGAGAGAAGTCATATCAGTGTTCTGAATGTGATAAAGCTTTTACACAGAAGTCACATCTTATCAGACACCAGAGGATTCACACTGGAGAGAAGCCATTTTAATGCTCTCAATGTGACAAAACTTTTACAGTTAATGCCGGTCTAATCTATCACCGGAGGATTCACAAATTCAGCATAGATTAAATTCTGGAAAAAAAGGAATATTAAAGAAGTTTCAGGTGTCACAAGTTAGTTTCACATCCCCAATGTCATCCCACAAGCTAGAGAAGAAGGGAGAAGATAAAATGTTACTTTAAAAGAAACAAACTAAAATCTGAGCAAACTGGAATGTAATGATGATGAACTGAGTTTAGTGCTTATGTCCATCAATACACAACTAGAAGGGATTTGAATATTTTATCTTTTGACAATTTTTTTTAAGATAAGCATCAATAACTGAACAGCTTCCCTCATGATTCTCATTCTTTATCTTTTTTTATGGAGCTTTGAATGAACATGTAATGCATTTTCATGATTCACCAACTGAGTTGTGTTTCCAAGCATTTTCTTCATTTCTGGATCCTGAGGTAATACATGACCAACACTGCCTCAGTACCAGAGACTAGGATGGGGTCTATTGTCATCTTACCAAGTCTCTGAAGCCTCAGTGGGAGAGTCCATTCCAGGTTCTTCTGACTATTGATACATCACTCAGCACTTTACAATATAATGGGAGACAATGCAGTTCAATACAAGAGGGATAGGAGGGCCCTGCTCCTGACCAACAAGGGCATAACCGGGGTTCAGGGGCGGAGCCTAGACATGGCGGCGTAGGAGAGCACGGAGCTGGTGCTCTCCGAGTCATCCACACCATCCCAGATGCCTGCAGAAGAGTGACCCGGGGACTTACCCATGAGTGACGGCTCCAGATCGGGTCCGGCAGCCCGGGAGTGGAGAGAAGAAGGTGTGCTGGGCGGCGGGGCTTGCTGAAGGAGGTCCGGACTGACGTGCGGGGCTGCTGGGAGAGCGGGGAGTCACGGAGTTGACACGTGTGAAACCGCAGAGCACTACTGGGAAGGGGAGAAAAGCCGGCCGGCATCCGAAGTGAGAGTGAGGACGCCGGCTCGCTGCCCCCTTGCAGCATACAGGAGAAACCATATGTTTAATGGATAACCTGCTCCCCGTGTGTGTTAGGTTTATACACAGGGGAGTAGGGTCTGAAAAAGAAGACCCAGAGGAGTCCCCCTGAAGAGAGCAGTGGGAAGCTGAAGCTAGCAGCTGGTGGCTCGTAGCTGCCTCACCAGAAGAAAAGCAACCAGAGGGTGAGTGTGAGCAGCACGACCTAGCAAATTGTGATCAAATAGTAACTGTATGCTTAAAGAGGGGTAGACTTCCTGGGGAAGATTGAATGAGTGTAAGAGGAACTAGCAGCCCTGGAGAAGAAGGAGAACATAGTGGGAAAGTGGAAAATAAGTGCGTGTTGAGATATAGATACCTGGTCTGTAGCTGTTGAACCAAGGTGGTTCCTGTATTTAACTGAATAAAACTTACAGAGGGAGTGCGCATGCGCGGCCGGCGGGACGGACATGTCCCGATAAGGCTCCGTCTCCCCGTCGGGTGACAGCGCCCTTCAAGCAGCGGGTCCCGGCCCGCAATATCTCCTGGGGGGACCCGATCCCCGCGGCAATCCATCCAGGGTCTTATCCGGATCACCTGCAGCACAGCGGGGATTCCTGACAGGGGACTCGTGTCCCGTGGTGAGCCGCACATAGGCCCACTCACGCTGCCTACACTGCGCCCAGGCAGAGGAGAGGGAGAATAGGGGGGCTGAAATCTCTATAACAGCCCCCCCCCACAAACTACACAATGGTTAAGGGGGCACCTCGGCACCAGGTCCCCCCTTCCACCAAAACGATAAAAGAGGCCCTAGTAAAGGCCTCCACAAAGATGGCCACTGCCCCTACATGTGGAAGCAAGCAAGCAGCAGGGGCATATGCAGCCCTGCAGGATAAGCAGCCCAGCCATCCCTGCACGTCTGAGGGTGAGTCTGACACTGAAACTGATGTCCCTGCACAAGCCCTGATGCCTGACCTTACACCCCCTGACCTGTTGTCATGCTTTGAAAAAATGCTGCACAAAGCTTTGAAGCAAACCTCAGACCGCATCACTGCCATGCTATCTAGGGAAATCCGTGAACAGGACAGCGCACCGCGGACCTAGAACAGAGGGTAGATGGTCTTGACGCCTTGCTTCAGACACATGCGGACGACCTGGATCTCCTGCGTGACGAAAACGCTACATTATTGATAAGACTGGAGGACTTTGAAAACCGGGCACGGCGCTCAAACTTGCGTATCCGTGGCCTTCCGGAAACGATCGTCGATGTCCAATCAACGGTTACAGCTCTGTTCCAAGAGCTTGCTCCAGCTATCCCAATCGAGAGATTAGAATTGGATAGAGTCCACAGGGCACTAGCGCCACGACGCACAGATGGTCCTCCACGTGACATTATAGCCAAGCTCCACTTCTTCCGCACCAAAGAGCAACTCCTACAAGCTGCCCGTAACGTAGAATCTCTACAGTTCCAGGGACATACCTACCAATTATTCCAAGATCTATGCCCCACAACTATCTCCAAGTGCAGGGGTATGAAACCTCACCTACAAGTGCTCCAACAACACGCTATTCAATATAGGTGGAGCTTCCCCTTCGCAGTGCGATTCCGATACCAATCCCGAGATTACACCTGCAAGACTCCAGAAGATCTCCTAGACACCTTGCGGATCCTGCAACTACATTCTCCAGCGATGCCTTCAGAGAGCGCCAAGCAGAGGTCTGCATCCTGCTCACCGCGGAAGTCCCACCCTGCGTGTGCAACTGAAAGTCCACTCAACCTCCACAAACGAGGACGATTTTCGTCTCCGGGTCTATCCTCACAAGATACCATGGACTGAACTATATCCCATGATTATTCTTCTTTCTCCCTCATTTTTTTTTTTGCCACATACACCAAACGGTGTTCCCTCCTGACTGTCATTGTGGTTACCACTGTTGATATTCTTTCTCCCTCTGCCTGGTAAGTTTTGGTTGCTCCACAACCTGGGGATTGTTCCCACATCCCCCCCCCCCCTCCGGGCTTCATTCTCATTCTAGTTTAGTTTATATTTGGGAGCCTAGGCTTCGACGGCAAGTGCTGCCACAGCCCTTCCCCCATGATATCTCAATACTACAGCTACTGCCGTCTGAACCTAGGATACCATGATTTTCTTTAATGTGTTTTTTTTATCATACACCTGTTCTACCGGGACCTCGCCATCATTTTTCAATTTCGTTGCTGTCATCCTTACGGTCCGTGTACCTGCACACTCCAACCTAGCCCCTGTGTTATTGGTTATTTAATAACACTTGGGCTACTATTGTTCCCTAGCCCGCCCTGACTCAGGGTGTCCTTGGGAAACCCACCCTCTAGGCCTTACATGGCCTCTTACACCCTTTCTTTCCTGTTGCCTCTCATATACCATACCCCTCCTCCCCTCCTCCAACGTGACTCCATGACTCTGCACAACATGCTTCGCAGCGTTCTCATCCCTCACAGTTTACCATCACGCTCCACCCCCGGAGGTAGTGACATGCTACTCTAACCGCTATGCACTTTTCCCATGGGCTAGTTAAATATCCTTACCCTGAATGTACAGGGCCTCAATATTCCACAGAAGCGTAATAAGGCCTTCCCGAACCTTTGCAACACTTAAAGCTCACGTGGTCTGTCTACAGGAAACACACTTCACTCCCAATTCTACTCCTAAGTTTTTTGGCCCCCGATTTCCTCAGGTCTATACAGCCTCTGCCACCACCAAACGTAGGGGGGTACTGATTGCCTTTCATCGCACAACACCTTTCACTCTATGTACCGAAATCAAAGATCCGGAGGGTCGTTACTCCTGTTAGTTGGGCAGCTCCTAGACGTAGATGTCACCATTGTTGCATACTATGCCCCAAACCAAGACCCTTACCATTCCTTTCCCACATACTCTCGGTTATAGACCACCATAAGCGCGGAACTTTAATTGTTAGCGGAGATTCTAACGGTGTAATATATCCCTTTCTCGACAAATCTCCTCAACCATCTTCTGTTCCTGCCTCTAAAACAAACCTTCCAAGCCATACTACACCGTTATTCTTTGATAGATACATGGCGAGAACTCAACCCGGCTAAACGCCAATACACCTTTTATTCTCATCCCCACCAGTCATTCTCCAGGATAGATCATATTTTCATTACCACCGCCTCTACCTCCCGGCTCCTGGCGTCTGAAATAATTCCGATCCCTTGGTCTGACCATTGCGCCGTACTCACGGCCATGACCTCGCTAGCCCCATCTCCTGCTGAACCCTCTTGGATTATTAATGATAACTTGCTTGCAAACCCAGCTCACTGTCTAGAAATTGAAGCAGCCCTTAAAGACTATTTTTTCTCTCAACCAATCGCCGGATTATTTCTCCTCTCCTGTTATGGGAAGCACATAAACCGGTATTGCGAGGGTTTTGTATTAGCAAAGCATCCTTCTTAAATAAATCCAAAAGACAACAACGTCTCTCCCTGGAACAGGCCTACGATTGCTCCCATCAAGCTTTCCAGGCGGCTCCCACGCCTGCCAACCGTGAGGCCCTGGAGCGATCTAGATTGGCTCTAGATCTCATCCTCACAGATCAAGCGGAACTCTCACTCCGCAGATCCAGGCACAAATATACACTAGGGCAAATAAACCTAATACATTCCTGGCCCTCTCACTCCGCAGGCTTGACCAACTTACTAAACCTATCCGGGCAGATGCGCACCTCCTCTTCTGGCAACCTCACTAGCAACCCAGAACTCATTCTACAGACTTTCCATAAACACCTGTCACAGCTTTACTCCTCTTCCACACCTTTTGACCCCGCACAAGCAGAGGCCCTTTTAACTTCCATTTCCTTCCCGAAACTTTCAGAGTGTCAGTTAGTGGCACTTGAGCGACCCATCTTCCCAGCCGAAACCTAGACACCGCTATTAAAAATCCGAAACTACGTAAACGCCCAGGACCAGATGGCTTCTCAGCCACCTATTATAAAAAATATGCTCATCT